CAACGAAGATATAAAATTTTATTCAAAAATAAGCTTGTTTTACAAATTAGAAAGCGTGCAAAGCAATCAAATCTATGACTGCTTTACGGAGGAAAATGTTTTTTATTCTCTTGTTTGGGTTTTTTCGAAAAATCATTTTTTGCTGCGCAGCGTTAACAAAAATATGCTTGTAGCAAGGGATACAGGCATTTTAACTAAATGCGTTGACAAGTACCAAAGACAAGACAGATGGAAGGTGATTTTAAATTCGCAGAAGAGTTTTACACTCGAGTTTTTCTGGCCTATATTTAAAAATGTTATTTCTGTATACTTGTTGGCTTTTTTCATATTTTTGCTGGAGATTATGGTATTTAAAATAAGGAAAACTCTAAAAAATCGGAAGAAAAGAAATGCAATCTCTGTGGGAGAAGAAAGTAGGAATTTAAGCATTCCGAAGTAACTTTGTTTCATGTTGTATAACTAAAAGAATCTAATATACAGGGTGAATCTTAAATAAGTGCAAATATTTTTAGCTAAAAAACATAATATCTTGGTAATAAATGGCAACATAGGTAGCAGATTAAATTTACAAGAAAAAAATTCAGGAAATATCTAATAGTTCACAAAATTTAAGCGCATTTTTTTTGGACTTATTTGAAAAACGGTAAAGAGAAAATATGTTTCTTTTATCGAGATCTACCAGCTCTGAAAACATTTGCATTTATTTAAGACTCACCCTGTATATAAATTGATAGTTTTTGTGTTTTAAAATGTTTAGTAGTTTAGTTTGTTAGGTGTGTTTTGTGAAAGAATTCAATATCTTTATTAAATAAAATCAAATATAAATTAACCATGTAGTATTATTAAACGACTGCCTATACATATATTAATATTTTTTTTCAAACGTCACAAAATTATAAAAGTACGAAAATATATTATTAAACTGACATAGAGCGTCTAATTCAAAGAACGTAACCTTATGTTCTCGATACATAATAACTTACAAGGTAGTAGTTTTAAATATTTTTATATAATTTACAACGCTGGAAATTGTGTAAAAAATTATTTGTGACGTTTGTAACAAAATAACTTGTTCTATTCGGAGTAAAAATTACTTTTTATGCCTTCCCTGTACAAAAAATATCATTTTTACTCCTAGTAAAACAATATTGTGTTTGGGGTTGACCCAAGAGGGCCTAGGGCTTTTGTTTTTTTAAAAATGAAAAACAATTTTAAAAAACACATTTTTTGAATAAAACGTTTATGAGTTTCTCTATCAATAAATATCATAGACTTGGTTATCAAACCGTGTTCCTGTAGATTACTTAAATACCTACAAATTTTCTAAAAAATAAAAATTAACACATTTTTTTAACACAACAAAATAATATTAACTAAAGAAAAATAGAAAATGTCATTTTTACTGCATCACAAGCAAATAAAAATTAATACGTAGCCAAGAGTCATAATTCAGGATTTCTCTGGGGGGTGCCCAGCAGTACCTGGAGGGGGGGCCGGCACCCTGTCTCCCCTGTAGTTACGCCAATGCTTTATTTACAATTTCCTTGCATTATTAACGTATTCAACAGGGTGTTTCAAACATTCACCAAATTATCAACATTTTGTTTTTCTTCGTTCAACAAGACGGTGCACCTCCACAAAAATGTGCATAAATGTACTCTCAAAATGTGCGTAATTATTTAAACAATAACTTTCCCGTTCGGTGGATAAGACGAAGGGGTGCAATTGAGTGGCCTCCCCGGTCACCCGACTTGACTCCTTTAGACTTTTTTCTATGGGGACACATAAAAAGTAAAGTATAGCACTCCACCCGCCTCATTAGAAGACCTGCGAAGACGATATATTGATGTTTGTCGCGAAGTGACCCCGGAAGTTCTTCAGAATGTTCTAGAACGGATTGAAAACAATTTGTTTTACTGTATGGAGGTTGACGGGCAACATTTTCAGCATTTGCTTTAATTCCCAACCTTAACACCATCAGAATTGTATATTTTTACACTAATAGATTAAATTTTTCAATATTCATAATTTTTTGTCAACAGAGTTGAAAAATATAGCAATTTACCCAGTGGTTAACTTTAACCGTGAATAACTTTTGAAGGAGTAGATTTATCGTAAAATTGCAAGGGACTTTTTTTGTAGAGCGTCAAATTCTGTAAAAGAATATATAATTGTCATGGCTGCGAGAGAACAAGATCGAGAGAAAAAAAATATTTGCAAAAAGTGGCAATTTCCCATATAAGTTAAATGGGAAATGAATCGTCTTTGGGGCAAGGTTTATTGTGAATATTAAGGGTTTACAATGGTGTGTTATTTTTTTTAGACAACAGACTAAACATTTAGAGGGCGTAATCAGAGAAATGATCACCTTTGTAAATAATGGACACCATAATATGTATACCTTCAAATGAAAGCTAGTAGTCTTAACTATTTATTAACACAATTTTCTTAAAAAGAAGATCTTGATTACTCAAGATATTTCAATTATTCACTCGATTGATAATACGTAAATGAAAAATTTTCTTCGTCCCACAGAGCACATATAATACACAATTTTCTTTAACAGTTACCTAGTCTCGCGAATCCATTTCCCGTTACTGCCTCTCCAATGGAAATATATTCGCCATTGTTCTTTAAAATGCGCTCGGAGATCATTAGTCATTTTATCGCAACAGTCGTGACTGCAAAACGTTGTCTTATTACAGGCCGTATATCTCGTGGCAGGTAACTGTGCAGCCTTGTCTCTTTCTCTCATACTTGGAAAAAATAAAATGAAGAATCGCAATATGTGTGTGGGTATAGTGCCTTGCAATCAAATGGAATTCATCTAAGAACTTCCAAAGTAAATGGATTTTGACTAGAAGGACTCCATATCATCTTCTTTTTGTTCCATCGGTAATTGAACAGGGGTTCGGAAGTGAACTGGATCAAGTCCTAGAAGATAATTATGGAGAAAATGAAAGATAAAGCTTTTTAATGTTACTGAATTAAAATAAAACAAGCTGGAGAAGAAAAATTGACACAGTGCTTTATTATATTTTAAATTGTATAATTGCAAACTAAAGTAACTCAAAATACAACTGTGGTCATTTTTAAGAATGTTTGTTTACATTTTTTTGGACTTGAACCATTTTATCTCTGAAAATATTTGAAATTCTAGATAAATTGGTACATCGGTACATTCTTCTTCATCATTAAGGGATTTGTTGACTTGACCTATTTTCTATTAATAGTGTTTTCTTCGATTTTTATAAAAAAAAATTGGTATACTTATAGAAGATCTTTCATGTGTAGCCTTTTAGAGTGTTTTACGTTACGTCTATATGAAATGATAAGATTTTTCTTCCTCGTGCAGTTTTATTCAGATCAACAATATGCAGATATCTAACTATTTGTAAGGGAAATCAGCCTAACTTATTGATATAGTAAGAGTGAAAATAATGATAAATCAAACTATACTTTCAGAATCGATAGAATCAGACCTTTCAGATGGCTGAAAATCTAATTCGCTTGGTGCAAATGATTCACACTTTGTTTCATTGTCATCCATTTAATCAAAAAAAGAATGTTTTAGCGCTAAACTTTAGCACAAGTGTTAAAATCGCGCACAGCGTTAAATTGTATGGATTTGATCCAGTTCACTTCTGAAAGAAATCAACAGAATATTCAGAAACCAAACAGATACGGCTATAGCTGCTTAATGCGTGAAGTATGACTTAAATAAAAATAATACTACAAAAAATAATTTTTTTGTAGTACTAATAATTTTAGTCCGAAAAAGTGAATGCATTGGAATAAAGAAAAAAAAATATTGCTGTAGCAAATGTTTTAAAAACTCGAAATTGTTTCTAACTAGCAATATACTATAAAAAATTTGGATTTACTACAATCAAATGCATCGTTTGTAGTTTGTATACAACTAAAGACATTATGACAAACTATGTTAATTTCTAAATTTTACTATTCTTCACTAATTCCAAGAAAGTTCATTGAATTTTTCTGCTGCTACATAAAACTACAAACAATTTTAAAGATTTTTAGACATTTGTTAAAAAAATTTTCTCTTTGTTACATTGCGCTCAATTGTTTGCTTTTCCTGACTAATTATTAGTACTACAAAAAAAATTGTGTATTTTAAAAAAAGGGCGAATGCGCCGGACATCTAGAAATAGGATTTAAAATACAAAGCCATGTAAAATGATTAAAACGATTGGCTATTCTGATTTGGCTCATTTGGTTGGCAATAAATTCAAGAAATTTTAATATATATATATATATATATATATATATATATATATATATATATATATATATATATATATATATATATATATATATATATATATATATATATATATATATATATATATATCAATTATTATTAGTAGTGGGAACTATCGAATGAATACTATCGAAACATTCGATAGTTGCAATTCATTCGAAAAATTCGATAGTTAGTAAGAAAACATTCGTTGAAAACTATTCGAATAAAAATTATCGAATAGATCCGTCATCTGCCTTGAAATATTGTATTCTAGTAATTCGGCAGCAAAAACCATTCATTTATAAAATTCATTCATTTATGAAATTCATTTATTCGTCAGGATCGATTATAATAAAATATCAATTGAATTTTAGTTGTCGCCCGGCGACGTAGGTTTCTTTCCGAGAAACCCGACAGCGGTCGTTGGCAATGCTATGAAAGAAGCCGGCATCTTTGATTTTTTGCGGAGTCAGATATAGATAAGGACACATTATTTTTTTATTGAGGTGCTAGTATTTACACAGAAAATACATTATGAAGGGCGGTGTTGCCATATTTTGGTATTAGTTGATATTAGCAAAGAATATTATTGTTTGGCTTTAGTTAGTTAGGGTTAGTATGTCTATATATTCTGCATTTTTTTTATTAATATTCTGTTGTTACACTGCAATAATACCTGTTATTTTGGATGTAGAAAAATGATTTTTAATGTTTTTAAGCAAAGACTGGTTTAATAAATAATAATAACAGTAATAATTTGTTATACCTATTAACAACAAAAATTAAAATCGTTTAATATAAATATTTTTTTTAAGTAGTAGCAAAATATAAACAACAAATTAGATGTCAAAATTATTTATATTAGATCCTATTTAAAAATAATATAGTCTCTAAATTTTTTGTGTGTGGCAACGTTGGTTTATTAAATAATAATAATTACAGAACTAATTTGTTATATATATGTTTGTATTAACAACAACTTTTAAAATCATGAAATATAAACATTTATTAATTTTCTAAGCATGCAGTGTAATGGAAGGAAAATATAAATAAAAAATTAGAAATCAAAATTATTTATATTAGGTGCTTTATATTACTATTTAAAAATTATATTTACTTTTACTGGCATTTACTTTAAAAAATAAATGAAATATTTCTTGGCAAAAAACTACATGTAAGAGAATTAGCATTAACAAAATACAAACATCGTTAACTTTTTTTTTAAATTGGCACGTGTAAAACTTTCATTTTAATATTCTCACCCCATAGTTTGAGTTCGATAACCCCATTTACTTAACCACATTACTTAAATATGATTATTAAGTTCAACTAATTCATATTATTAAAACATCTAAAATACCAATATGTATTTTTAAAATTAATTGTAAGTTCATCTCATCTCTCATAAAAATTGCTACTTCTCAAAATTTCCCATTAAAAAATAGCCATATACCATATATAATTAAATAATTGAAAGATCGGACTACGGAAAACCACACAAATTTTCGGAAAAATTTTGACCACCTGCACATGCACACAATCGTCAATAAATAAAATTAAAAAATAACTACTATTTTAGTATTTTAACTATTTTAATAAACGCAAAAATAGCACAGTATTTATACGGCGAAGTTATAATAATTTGGAAGAACTAATAATGCACTGACGCATACAAAAATCAAACGAATACTAAATTTCATTTATCAAAAGCATTCGATAGTCCTGGCTCAACGATAACCATTTAGTCGCACGGCGAGGTTGTCACATATGCTTTAGTATACAAATGAATGAATGATTTTATTCGAATAAAACCATTCGATAGTTGAAATCATTCATTCATTAACCATTCGATAGTCTAATTCATTCGATAATTCCCATCGCTAATTATTATTAATACCACTAGCATAAAAAACCAAAATGGTAAATAATATGAGTAAATTTTTAATTATCTTTAAATTATTTTTTCTTTATAAGTGAGGCTAATGAAATGAGACACAAGATGAGAATTAAATGGCAAATGAAATTTTAAAAATCGTAAATTAATAGTAGGTATATTGTTTTATTAGGAGTAAAAATGACACTTTTTGTGGCGAGGCTGTACGTTTAACATACAGCAAAGGCACAAAAAGTCATTTTTACTCCGAATAGAACATGCTATTTTTTTTCAAACGCCCCAAATATTTTTTAAACAATTTCCAACATTCCAAATAATATAAAAAGATTTGAAAGTCATAACTTGTATGTACTTATATATCGAGAAACTATGGTTACGCTCGTTGAATTTGACACTTATGTCAGTTTAATAATATATTTTCGTATTTTTATGCCTAGGCGTGATGGACACATTTTTTTATGATTATGTAACTTGTTTTTATTTCAGATGACTTATTCAAAAATATATTTACGTTATGGTGGTTCTAATATACTGCACTATAGCAGATATAAACAAATAGAAAAATAAACATAAAACAAACATAGTAAATCTTTCGATCATTTTTCTTTGTTCCGGGAACTTCCGACATACCTGTAGCATCTGTACTGCATTATTTTCAGGAAATTCCATTTTATTTCGGCTCGGGCGGCGACCATTTTTCATGTCTGTCCTTAGGGGATGGTAGACCGGGACAGCGGCATTATTAATATTTCATATATTTATTTTTGGCTACCGGCATAACTATCTTTACACGTTGGGGAGTCCATAAAGGCTAAAACACAGAGAGATCCACGATGAGTAAAATAGTTGACAATATACAATATACATTTGTTAGCATTCATAGGACACAGGGCACAAAGTAGATTTTAATAACGCAAAAAAATATGATGAAAGAACCGATAGCCTCTAAACGGAAAATACAGGAGGCATATTTAATACAGTCCAATGTAAGTAAATGAATTGTTCAGGCATCGCTTCTTTGATTTTAATAAATATATGGTATGGAGTTTTACCTGCGTTTTCTCAAAGTTGAACATTCTTGGTATGTCATCCACTGGCTGACAATTTTACCAGTACTGTTTCTGTTAATGACCATTCTAATCATTGTCGCATTGGCATATCTACCGATGATAATGTGTAGTGGACTAGAATGACCTCCATTGCTGTTGTTGAGCAGGTTCTCATGACTCCTGTGATGCATATGCATGCCAGTCTCTGCATTTTGCACAGATTTTGTCTTGCTATACGTTGCTCTACTTTAGTGTACTGCTTCATAAGTAATTATGGGTCTTACTATCAACTG